GATATAAGATTTTTTTCTTCTGCTACCTTTCATTTTTATTTGATTTGTATCATTTTGTTGTATGTTTTTAAATGAAATGAAAAAATTATTTAAACTTAACTATTGAAACTGAAATGTTACCAAACACTGACTTTCAGTGCATACGACACCAGTCRTTCTGTTGAGTGCACATTATAACTATCTGGTTGATGCACATCTACATTTCAGAATTTAGCCTTCTGTGTTTATTATAGAGTTATAAGAATTACATAATTATCAGTTTTGGCCTTTTAAAATTTGATTCATAATTACTCGTGTTTGCATCAACATGCATTACAAAGAAATTATAACCCCCAGCCACAGGAAATATATCTTCTACAGCTTTCAGACACTGTCCTCCTAACACTTATAATGCGTACCTCCTTGAATGGCGGCTCCATGTCCACATGATCTGACAAAGCATAAGCAGCTGCCACAAACAGAGCGGTAGCCTCAAGACCTTCTTCAAACTGAAGATAAATGCCACCAACATCATCCAGGTGAGCGGTCAGATCCTAAGAAAAACAGACATGTATTTTCAAAGCTGATCTGCAAATCAAAGCCAGTAACACAACGCCACCTGGTGGATGCTACTGAGCTCACCTCAATTTCCTCTAGAATCTTTCCAAGTTGTGCCTGCTGGGACAGGTAGGACGCAGTCTGCAGAGCTGAGATGATTCTGTCCAAAACCAGCAAACATTTGTTTCAAACTGCATTCTTCAAACCAAAAGGACCAGTTTATCTACAAGGAATGCTTCGCACTTACTCCATGACATTCTGCTCCTTGTTGATGTGAGCTGTAAGGGCGACGACGACTTCCTGAGAAGCAAGGGGGAGCCCCAGAGAGCTGAGTGCCCCCACAGCCCGATGGATCTGAGCCATTGAGGAATCCTCACTGACTGCTGCCAGCAGGATGTCCCGGGTTTCATTGGACACAGGGATCTGAGGGAACCACAAAACTCTCATGAAGACTTTATGCGTTACAGTGAGCATTACTATCCTTTAACATAAATACTAGGGCTGTGTATTGGCAAGAATTTGGTGATACAATACATATCATGACAGAAGGATCACGAAACGATATATCGCCATATATTTCGATACTGTAAACAAGGCGATATATTGCGATATTTTTGGTCCAAAAATTCTATTAAATAAAAACCTCTAACTGGGGAAAAAAAAAAAAAAAAAAAAAAAAAAAAAAAAATTCATTGCCTCAGAAAATTCTAATATACATAGACATACTTTTGATACATTTAGCTGTGTTCTGCTT